ATACTTAAATCATCGATTTTACGTTGCCAAAAGCATATAAATAAAGACCTACGTCTTAGGATTGATGGCAGTTCCAATTTAATACAATGCAAAACCAATTTATTGGACTTTATCTAATGTTGAAACTGCTGAAACAACGAAACCCTGGAAAAGGGCAAAATTAACGAATTTAACGAATTTTTCAGATAACCATAGATTAAAAATTGTATTCAAGATTAGTAGCAATAAGAAGTGTTAAGACTAAAATCCGAATTACCCTGCCGATCACATGATAATTTAGTTAATTAATAGAGTACACATATGAGTCAATTTATCTGCTGCTTATTATACATGTGTTTTAAAAGGTGTATATTTCCATCATTTGTGTCCATTAAGCCTTATCCGAGATAAGTACTTGAAAAGTAAAGAAACGCTACTTTTTGCCTGTGCATATCATAGTTCCGACCGTTACCAGTTAGAAACAATTCAATTCTTAACCTCTCATGCTAATGAAAGTGACATTTATAGATTAAATGGTCAACATAATGAATGCATAGAAGTCTCTAGTACTTAGGTAATTGATTACTGAGTAAGCATTGTTATACTTAACGAGATGAACGACAAGCGTCGAGCACAAACAACTCAACAAATGATGCGTCAACTCGGCGTGGGTTGAATAATTGGTCTCATTGTTTAGGAGGATCTGGAGCTTATCTATGTGCTCCTCTAGTGACAAGCGTCAAGGAGACGCTCATTCTTTTGCGAAATATTGTTTTCAAATTTCATTAGGTTTTCAATTAAATTTTTATGTTACGCATGTTACGAGCCGAAATAGCCAAGAAAAATAATTGAACATAAATTCCGGAAGCGAAAATGGGCGATCATCGATTTCCTAGAATTTATATTACAACAATAAATAGTATTATATATTGGGGGTTTGTTTCACATCTATTGGATACAATTGGTGTTATAAAATCGACAATCAATATACTTTTTCAGCACAAACTATGCCCGTGGTCTATCATCATGGGAGATTGAAAATTGCACTTTCAACAGTTTACATTTTATTATAGTTCAATTTCAGATTAAACTGCGAATGATACGTTAATAATCATGAAAATGTTTTAAATATGCCCTCAGAAACGGATTGTTGCTTAAAACTTCTTACGGCTTCCGGAAACCTTCCATGTTCGTATATTTTCTCAAGTACTAATTATTTTCTGCTTTTTATATTCAGAACACTAATGAAATGTTGACTAATTACATTCTGATCTTGGTTGGCTTCGCACTTTATTTGCCGTGCAAAGGTAAGAAATCCTAGCCGCTTTCATTTCGTATTAAAATTAAATAAATTTATATTGAAATAATATAAATAATTTTTAGATTCCGTATTAGATTGCTTGAGCCGCGTCGGGAAAATTCCTGCATATGTTAGTCTACGGCAAATTCGAGTTGAATTATTCAGCAAGCTGAAGCTATCAAAATTATTGCTTTGAAGGACAAAGAAATATTTGGAAGTTGTTTTAATCAAAGTGTTCATAGTTGTATTTATAACTGTTCGCAGGTTTGCATCTAGATAACTCTCAGCAGTATCAGAAATTTACAACTCAAAATGCTAGCAGGTGAGTTATTCATGTTAAATATCTATTCCCACAGATTTATATTAAAATTATAGTTTTATTTTCTTCTGAATTTCAGATGAAAAAGTTTATAAAATTATTGGAATAATATAAAAGATAAGATAATTGACCAGAATTTTTAATTGAATCTTGAATTTATAAAAAAGCTTTCCACTATTGCATGAAATTTTTAAATAGAATTTGATATTAATTAACCGAAGAGTGCTAGAAGTTTCAAATTTTTTCGTCGGTAATTCTGTAATCAAATGAATTATCTTTTTTGATCCCAATTAGCAAGTGTAATGTAAAATTCAATTCCAAACTATCTCCTTAGTCATGTCTATATCTGTACAATATAATACATAATTGCAATTAAACCGAATTTTTTTCCAGATGTAAGTCTTCATTGCAAAATTTTGAGCTTCTGCATCTCCTGAAGATCTCAAAAACGCCGCACTGCATCGTAGTGGTTCATGGAAATGAGATTATTGAAGGTATTCCTAACAATAACTGCTAGCAAATTTTTTATCTTTCGTAGGACGCAAATTTTTATGCCAACGTCAGCTTTATAAAGTGTTTGTTCGGATTTACTGGGGCAATCAAATTTCTGCGAATCAACATGTTATTGAGAATTTAATTAACAACTTCATTTTTCCGGTGACAGACTGTGATGTTATTTGCATATGAGTTTCATCTTAATACAAAAATGGTTCTCTTATACTATCCACTCATTGCAAATAAATTCTCTAGTGAGAAATTTGTGTTTATGCTGACGATTTTGCTGTTGAAAATCGAAAAACTGAATTATTTCCTTTCCTTTCAGATTTTTGTAGAAAGTTGAACACTTCCTACCCGAAACCCCAAATGCTGACGGTTTTGCCGTTAAAAATCTAAAAATTGAATGATCCCATTCTCTCTCTGATTTTTGTAAATAATATGATATTTGCGAATATTTTAACAGTGGCCATTTTTCTTCGCAACCACAGATGCTGACGGTTTTACTGCTAAAATCTTAAAATTGAATGATCTCATTCTCTCTCTTATTTTTGTAAATAATATGATATTTGTGAATAATTTAACAGTAACAGTTTTTCTTCGCAACCCCAGATGCTGACGGTTTTACTGCTAAAATCTTAAAATTGAAAGATCCCATTCTCTCTCTGATTTTTGTAAATAATTTGATATTTGTGAATAATTTAATTAACAGTAACAGTTTTTCCTCGCCGCCACCAGATGCTGACGGTTTGTTGCGCGGGCTTTCGCGCGCGACGATGCCGCTGACTGCGCTGACGTGCGACGAGGCGCTGGTGCTGTCGTGGCTACGGGAGAACAGAAAGAAATTCCACGTCTTCACCGTAATGCTAGCGTGCAGCGAGGCCTTCATCTTGAAGATATTCAAAGAGGTACAAAATTTAGTTTATTTTAACTATGGAGTTTTTTGAGTTTCATTTAATTATTTAATAATATTTATCAAATATTTATCAATATTTATCAATTGTACAAAAAATATCGAAAAATATTTATTTATTATTATTTATTGAAAATAAAGTACTTTTTTAATACTAAAAATTACCCTGCTATTTGAATATTCACAGTGCACAAGCTTTTGTGCATGTAATATAATTATTTATATAATGTATTAGATTTTATTATTTACTTATACACAAGTTATAAATTTTTAGCATGCTTAATAATTAGGGTTCATATACTGTAAGTATAATTATCTATCAAAAAGAAGTTCAATAAAAGACAATCTTTTTATTTGTCGATAGGTAGAGAGCAACTTCCTTGCAAGTGAGGCGACTCAATGGCTGGTGGTGGCAGAGGCGGACATCTCGCACGATCTGGCGGCGATGCTCACCGAAAACATTCAAGTTCGACACCCTATTACAGAGTTGTTCTAAATGAGGAACCCAATTGAATATATTCGTATTTATTTAAGTATAAATTAAAAATTAAATATTTATACGCCAATTGAGAGCGAATGATTGGAAATAAAGATCTGGCTCTACACTTCTGGCTACCGAGATCACCTGATCTCACCCCATGTGACTATTTCTTATGGGGTTACGTCAAGAAAGCTGTTTACGTGCCGCCTCTACCAGCAACTCTGTTTACGTCCCGCCTCCACCAGCAACTCTGTTTACGCCCCGCCTCTACCAGCAACTCTGTTTACGCACGGCTTACTGATGCACTGCTTACTGGGAACGTCGCAGCAGCGCCCTTCAAAGCCGGTCTCGCAGCAGCAGGGGCCAGAGTCGAGGCAAACGCCGTGGAGGCAACCATTAGGACAGAGTGCTGTTTCGATAAAAATTCCAAGATGGTAGATTGAGCAGACTTCCCAGACTCTACTGAATCTCCTCCGAACCTCATAGCTGGAGCGCAAGCCAAAGAAAAATAAATGTTTGAGAATCTGAGATACTATGTTAAAAAGTTAAAAATATGAATGACAGTTAGATTTTGCTTTATTCTACAATGAAAGTTTTTGTTTATCCATCCCGATTTCGCTGAATTGAATGGCATTTAACATATCACTCTGCGGTTCTATTGAATTGTCCTCTTAGAGAAATGAATGGGCAATATTGTCCCAGTAATGATTTAATTCTATACCAACGGTGTCACTTTCACTTCGAACCGACAGGAAGCGAACGTAGCACTAATACAAATTTTAAGACGAGTTTAATTCAAACCAAGAATTTAATTCATTGCAAGTTTATCGCGAAACAACGGCCTAATTGCAGATAGAACTGAAAAATGGTAGCTCATTTATAAAGATCTAAATCTATTAGAGAAGCTAACGCCTACAACGTACAACGTAGATATATGTTATATTTCAATAAAATTTAAATAATGCTTACCCTTTACAGTCATCGTTTCTCGCGAGGACCGGCCCGATGAAGAGGGCCACCACCATCAGTAGGCGGAAGAGGGACGACATGGAGGAGGGGGTCTGTGAGGACAGGGGACGTGGAAGAGACCGAAATTAAGGTCTTGGGGGGACTGCTAACCATGGGATATGCACTTTCGAATCTTATTGCGTAAGTGGCTTAATCTTTTTTAGATTCTTCTGTATTTCTTCCCAACCGCATAAGTTGTTTTCTGTGAACTGGTGGTGAGTGTTGACTGCTACAGCCTATGGAGAATCCCGCGGGACACTTCCTTTTGCTGCGGGACACTTCCTTTTGCTGTGGGACACTTCCTTCTGCTGTGGGACGCTTCCTTCTGCTGTGGGACTCTTCTTTTTGCTGCGGGACACTTCCTTCTGCTGTGGGACGCTTCCTTCTGCTGCGGGACACTTCCTTTTGCTGCGGGACACTTCCTTTTGCTGTGGGACACTTCCTTCTGCTGTGGGACGCTTCCTTCTGCTGCGGGACACTTCCTTTTGCTGCGGGACACTTCCTTTTATGACCGTATGCCGAGGTAACCTGGTCCACACGTGCAAACTCCCGTCGCCGGGTGACAGCTGGCACCTGGGTGCCGACAGTCACACGTTTGGGAGCAGTTGAGGCCATACCGTCCGTCTGGACAGGTGGCATCACATTGCAGGCCCCTCCAGCCAGGCTGACAGACGCACTCTCCTCCTGTCTGGAGGTGACATCCCATGCCGTTGGTGCAGTTACACTCCTGGGCGCACCGGTTGCCGTACCTGCCTTTCGGGCACACGTCCTTGCAAAGTGGTCCGTGATACCTGCAATGTCGTCATGGTATATTTTGATTATAAATTTCGCCATTTTTTGTGGTTTCGTCATTCGTGTTGGTTTGCCTATCGCAAACCAACACGCCCACCACCGTTTGGCCTGACATTATCCCTCCTCCCAATAATGTTATTTTCAATAATTTTGGGTCATTACTTTTTCGGCTGTAAGCCACACAAGCCAAAACATATCATTTGAATTCGACCAACCTTCATCCACCAACTCAGCGGGGAATGGTATGTCCAAGCATCGTCCGCGAACACATGAAATAATTTTATAATATAATTATTTGCATTTTTTAATAATATAAAAATTATTGGTGGAGCATCGATGATTATCGGTGGCTATAGATGAAAATTATTGTAGGTGGTGCACCGATGGCGCATCGATGCGCCACCGATGCGCTTTGTTCTTTTTGTTCTAGTGTGCCGTGTTGTACATTTGTAATTGTAGTATTTTAGGTTTGACGCGGCTTGCTTGGTGTTGGAACTTAGCTTGCGTTTTAGGTAAGGACCAGAATTTTTTTAACAACCCAAGCACGAGCGCATACCTACCGAGATTTGTGAGATGCTGATCTTGCCCTCTCGTCCTCGCCCTAGGACGAGAGGGCTGATCTTGCCCTACCGTCCTCGCCCTAGAATTGTATACGGCAGGGATAAAATTTCTATATCGTTACAGTAGAGGTGGCATAAATTAGCTATTACCCAGGGGCACAAGAGCAGCTCCCGTCGACTGGGTTGCAGAAGGCACCGTTCAGACACTGGCAGGAACTTGAGCAGTTCACGCCATACTTGTCAAAGGGGCACTCGAGTGAACATGTTCCACCCGCCCACCCTGGCTTGCACAAACACTCTCCCGTCACCGGTTGACATCTTCGGGGGGGATAGAAACAAATGTACTGAATTTTTCTTGGCATTGTGTAAAGATCAAGTTAAGTAAAGCATTTCTAGTGGGCTTTAGGGTAATATTCACATTCGGTGTCATTGGCTGAACTCGTTAGCCTGTCACCGGTCGCTCTAACTCAGGCCGCCAGGGCCATAGGTCAGTGTCTTAACGTCTACTCGTAATAGGAAATCTTCATTTGCCATACCTGTAATCATTATGTTATGTAGCAGCAGAAAGGCGTTCAACTGCTATGCTAATTTATCTTTAATCCATTGCTGTTCCGGTTGGGGAGAATTCTGAGCCTACCACAGCATTTTGTCATCGGTACAAGAAGTATTAAGTTGTCAAATCTTGACATTCCTGTGTGATTCTACCATCAGTCGTTTGTGATTTTACCGTCAGTCATCTGTGATTCTACCGTCAGTTCCTTGTGCCTTAACTGTCAGCTGTCTGCACTCCTCCGAAGGACACTGCCTTGTTTCTACCGAGATTTCACCCAGATTTAGAAGCTTAAGTTTATTATCTGTTACTGTATGATTGCCTCTTAATTTGCTATCAATTAAACTGTTTTTAGAACCCGTTCATCATTAACCATTGATTCGACTGATACCGGTCAGCTTTCCGAAAACCCGACACATAGACATTAAGGATATGCCCCTTAAATGAGCGTCATTTGTTTGTGTTACCCTCTAAGTAAAAATAACCTCATCTAAGATTCGTGATTTACTATTCCAAATTCTCCCGCAACCATTAGGTCTGTATACAGTTTGCTGAAATACATCGATATATTGCACATTGAAGATATACAGGGAAGTGACTCGCAATGATACCCGTGGTATCAGCTGGGACCTGATCTCACCTCTCCGTCCCTGCAGCCTCACATGAGCACGACTGGACAGTTGGCTCCCCACCACCCAACGGGACATGGGCTGGTGCACAAGTCATCCTGAAACACAAGTGCTAGTTGAAGCTGTTGCGAGGTTAAGCTGGTGGTGTGTAGTAACTGGATAGAGTATAAATATACGTTCAGATTTGAAATGCCTAGCACCATTTCGGACCCGGTTGAAGTCTAGTAGATATTTCAAACTATCATCAGTCCTGAAAAGTTTCGGTCAAATGACACGATTTTAGATCTTCTGTGAACAAGTCACGATAAGTAAGAATCGGCGACAGGCCACATCAGGCCTACACTTCAGCGCCTGCACTTCAGCCTGCACTTCAGCGCCGAAATCGCTATGTTATGTTATGTAATGTTAAATCAAAGAGTGAGCTACATGCCCGAGACTTGCACGCTATAACGCTGAGAGGGCATCCACGCAAGACGTAATACATATTTTACTTTTTAATTCGTGGATTATTGTTAGACCGAACTCAGGGGACTTAACTACCGGTATATCAGAAGACTAATTTTATTTTCTATGCTTATAATTAATACTTAGTTTGATTAGCATTAAAATCTTAATAAATAACGCATTGATATGTTTATTACATGACAAAAACATGGAATCTCATTTTCTGTGATATTATTTTGCGGATTTATTTAAGTAACAGATGTCATAGGGTGTTTCTGAGCGTTTTGCTAGGGCCAACGCCATAGGCCCACACAAGCTCAGCTAGATACTGGTTAATAGGCGGGCGCTTACCGATCTTCATCATAATTTATTTTAAGATTTATCGATATTAATTTCCGATAATATTGCCAGAAGACGAAACTTTTGTACTTGTGAAAAAATAATAATAGTTTATTATCTCATATTGTACATAAAAAATTTGTTAGTTATTTTCATTTACGTAATAATCGAAATACTGCTCATTCTGTTTTAATTGAGTTATCCTTCGAAGACGGTCATTTTTGTATTTGTTCAGTAGTGATGATGTGGAGTGCAAAAGATTCAAGTCTAATTCGGAGAGCGAAATCTAATAAAAAAAATTACTACTGTAGTTGTGGTTATATCTCAGATGCATAACCGACCTACAGGGTGCTTGATTAATTCAGGCGTAAGCACGACATTCTTCAACGGGGCAGGTGGTGTTCTTATGTACCTCCAGTTTCTGACAGCGTTTCGATGAAGCTAGTACCCAAACTCTCGCACTCCTCGTGTCGTGGGGGCTAAAGCCTGCCAAGCTGGGCCTATACTTTCAAAAAGCTAAGAGATCGTAAGTTCATCAGCCAATCATTGACGGCCTTCCAAGCAAAATCCACCAATCATAGACAAGAAAATAGAGCGTAAGTACTTACGTCCACTTAGCAAGTTAAGAAAGTATGGCCCCAGGAGTATAATTCTTTGCTTTTTGATGTGGCTCGTACCCACATCACTCGCTTCTGCGTGGCAATTGGTGAGGTGCGTACTTTTATTAGGCGTTTCTTCGGTCCTTCCTAGTTTGGTGTAGCTCATACCCACATCACTTGCTTTTCTCAACAGCGTGTCGACGCTGTTGAGACACGCTTGTTAATTTAATTAATGGGTGGTATTAATCATTGTTAATACCACCCCATTAATTATAGAAAACATTTACTGGTGTAAAGGCACTGATCTCACGTTTGCTAAATACTCGCTGCAGTCATTGGGGTCTTGCAGCTCTTTTCTGTTCCTGCCCTCAGAAAGAGGCAGGAACCGAAATGCGTTCGTTTCAATTACATCCGAAGATGGCAAAACTCATAGTCTATTTAGTACTATTCTGGCAATAGATTCCAGTTTATAACCATGTGCTTAGTTCTACATCAGATCGTTATTGCAAGCAAAATTTTGGTCTACATATCACACTAATCAAAACTGGTTATCATCATTTAGATCTGCACTTGAAAGGGAATTACACCGCAGCCAATTCTACAGCCAAAATTGTCCAGAACCTTACCGTCCATCCTGGAAGACAGTAACATTTGCCAGTGACAGGGTCACAGTTTTCTCCATGCTTGCACCGGCACCTGCTGCTGCAGGCGATGCCGTAGGTCCCCGCTGGACATTGAGTGTCACATNTGTGTATAAGAGACAGATGTACAACCTTTTCCTCTATCATAACTAATGCTAGATAAAATATACTTATTTTTTGTTACTGTAGAGAAATTGTAAATAAATAGCTGAATAAGCATGACAAAATTCAGATTGATATTTTATTTACGAGCGGAGTTATAATTCCTAAAAATTTTCGTCAAAGAAAAGATTGGATAACTTCTGTGCATAATTTTTTATGCTTTTTAATTCCTTATACAGGGCTCCTATGGGCCTCTACTATAATTTTGGTGATTTTCTGCTATTTGGACAGCTGAAGAACGACATTGAAGAGAATTTGTGCCTATGGCCTTCGGGTCAAAATTCCAAAGGCCGTTAATTTATAGTTTGCCCGCCAATCGTGAATAATATGAAGGAATATCGGAATTGAGCAGTACTACTACAACCACCTTGTCCGCTTGGTGAGCTGGTCCCATACCACATCAACTTAGAATACCAACGCTCCAACGCCTTTACTGTTAAATGGTTACTACTTGCCTGCAACTTCACTTTTTCTGAAGAATTTAAAATCGAAGAAAACAGCTAAAAACTTCAACATTTGTTATGAGAGAAAATGTTTCTGAATCACAAGTACAAACAATTATTGAACTGAAATTCACATTTCCGTCGCAATTAGTATATATTCAATTAGTGAAAATTTTCTCTAAGCAATATTCTGAAGTTGTTCTCGAACGTGACAGTATAGGAACGCTGTTTATTGTTCATTTCCATACTTTTGTTACGCTTCGGAGACTATGGCTAGGAAATTGCAGGGATTGTTCTCTAAATAGCTCACGAATGTAAATCTTCATATATTGCTGATGGATAACTATAAAATCAGTTTTTTCAAGTTTAAAGATACACTCCCTGTTCCTATGCAATCGTCCATAGTTTATCAATATAGTTTTGTGCAGTCCGTGTCTACGTATGTCGGTATGACATCACGTAATTTTTATACCAGGCTGGCGGAGAACACAGGAAGGAGTTATAGAACAGGAAGCCTGCTTGCTCATCCCCCTCATTCAGTAGTGCACGTTTTTGCCGAGCTGCAACGTCCCGGTTCCGATAATGATTTTAGAGTTTTAGCCTTCACAACCTGTTTTTCTGACCTGCGCATTTTGGAGTCCCAGTATACTTTTAGAATAGAATAGAAGTGTCATCGTTGAAGAAATAGGCCCATGGCCTGTTGCCGATTCTTGAACTTTTCGTGACTTGATTCACAAGGGATCCGGCCTTTGGAACCCGATCTTTCCATAGCTGACGATTGATTGAGATAGCTGCTGGACTTATTGCCTGGTCCGTAATTTGTTAGGCATTTTAAGACTGAACATATGCTCCTGACCGTCTGGTCCACATGACTTGTTTGGATTTACAGCGATAAGGCGCTTGAGAGCCTCTTCTTCTTGTATTTCAAAGCTTGTTAATTTATAGCCGACTGGGCGCTCCTCAATAGCTGGAATACTGTTCAAGTCCTCTTCAGTGAATACGCTACTGAAAAAATGATTAAGTACGTTGGCTTTGCCCTCATCAGAGGATATCTTTCGCTGATCTACTTTCAAATCAGAAATTCATATCTACTTTCAAATCCCTTTTAAACAAAGGCCAGTTTAAATGCCGCCTATACAGTTCATACCCCTCAAAATTGTAGACAGATAGGTTTGTTTGCTCATGTTTACCTCATTCTTATTTATTTTCATTTGTCAATTTATCTTTTAATGGCTTAAACATGAATTTTAGTTTGTTAGTTGTTTGTACTTGTGTTCTATGTTTTGAGCTGACGATGAAGCTGGACTCATGAACGTTTTCTGGCATAAGAAATAATGATTTTTTTGGTTATTTCTCAGCTTTCAAATTCATGATAAACTTGCGATTTAGCTCCGAGAGTGGATGCAAATTGTATATAAAATAGATGCAACGGGGTTAAAAGATAAATACAAAGACTAAAAAGACTTACACAGGAAAATGACATGGACTTGGTCTTTTAACAACGACCAGCAAGGATCTCACCTGGCCATATTTGCCCTGAGGGCAAGGATCCTGGCAGAATTGGCCTATCCAACCGGCGGGGCAGTAGCAGACGCCGCTGTCGCGCTCGCACGTCGTTCCCCCATGGAGGCAGGTGCAGTCTTTATCGCACTCGGAGCCCCATTTACCATTGGGGCACGCTGTGGGTACACCAGATATACGTTAACAAATATAGTAATTGCAAGAAATTTATGTATATTCATGGTTATGCATATTCATTATGTATTGTAACGCCTTCCTCGAAGGACGCTACGCCTAGAACGGTTCAGCACTATATAGTTACACCTCCTGACGTACTGAGCTCTAGGCTTAAAGAGAGGTTCAATAATTTTATACTAAATAAATTTCTTCGTTTAATAGTGAAGGAACTGAACAGTTGCAATTATCGAATATACTGTATCTGAAAAACACGAAAAATGAATACATATACAATTTTGGCACGGTTATGATAAATATCACAGAATCTCAAAAAATGCACCAGAAAATACACAAAAAGCTTATGAACTACGAACTCCGAACAGGTTAAGCGACCCTGGTCGCGTACAGAGTAAAAGTGGCTGGCGGAGATACGTGTCCGTAAATTGCTTACTCTAACAAGTGTTGCCATATGGGCATTTCGCACTACATAATCGCTAAATTAATGAGCTGCGGCTACATGTATGTATTTATGTATATTCATGGTTCCGGCACTATATACCGTGCCGGAATGGCGCTGCGGTGGCGATAATCTAGAGAACCCAAGAACGCGTAGCCGCAATAACGACGCCAAAATGGTTTTTCCGGCACTACCGTGGCGCCGGAAAATGGTCTTTCCTGGTTGCCTTTTGGCAACCAGGAGACTAAAGATTGGCATGCGAAGGTAGGTAATGTCAGCGATAATCTAGTATATGTAGATACTCGTATGCATCTAGTACATAGATAGCAAACGATGGACAGAACTGACATAGATGGTACACAAATAGCACTCTATATCTACAAATTCGTTTTTTTCAAATTGAGGGACCAATATCCGGTAGGGAGGAAGGTGTAAAGTCAAAATGTAATACCACTTGTCCCTGGATATTTCCTCATTAATATCTACCTTGTTGAAAGATAATCTCCTTCACTGCGATATGTTTATAAACATATTTTTGTTCGCCTTCCCTGTCTATCAAGTCACGCCCATGGTGGCGTACAATATCGAAGGTATGCATGTATAAGCTCTGTCTCAAACGATTAATCTCAGCCTTGGGCGAAGACCGCTGTTGGTATACCCCTGATTCTGTCCATATCAATCTGATCTCACCCCATGTGACTATTTCTTATGGGGTTACGTCAAGGAAGCTGCTTACGTCCCACCTCAACAGCAACTCTGTTCACGTCCCGCCTCTACCGGCAACTCTGTTTACGTCCCGCCTCTACCAGCAACTCTGTTTACGTCCCGNCTTCCTTCTGCAGTGGGACTCTTCTTTTTGCTGTGGGACGCTTCCTTCTGCTGCGGGACACTTCTTTTTGCTGCGGGACACTTCCTTCTGCAGTGGGACTCTTCTTTTTGCTGTGGGACGCTTCCTTCTGCTGCGGGACACTTCTTTTTGCTGCGGGACACTTCCTTCTGCAGTGGGACTCTTCTTTTTGCTGTGGGACGCTTCCTTCTGCTGCGGGACACTTCTTTTTGCTGCGGGACACTTCCTTCTGCAGTGGGACTCTTCTTTTTGCTGTGGGACGCTTCCTTCTGCTGCGGGACACTTCTTTTTGCTGCGGGACACTTCCTTCTGCAGTGGGACTCTTCTTTTTGCTGTGGGACGCTTCCTTCTGCTGCGGGACACTTCTTTTTGCTGCGGGACACTTCCTTCTGCAGTGGGACTCTTCTTTTTGCTGTGGGACGCTTCCTTCTGCTGCGGGACACTTCTTTTTGCTGCGGGACACTTCCTTCTGCAGTGGGACTCTTCTTTTTGCTGTGGGACGCTTCCTTCTGCTGCGGGACACTTCTTTTTGCTGCGGGACACTTCCTTCTGCAGTGGGACTCTTCTTTTTGTTGCAAGACACTTAATTCCTTCTGCTGTGGGACTCTTCTTTTTGCTGTGGGACACTTCCTTTTGCTGTGGGACTCTTCTTTTTGCTGCGGGACACTTCCTTCTGCTGTGGGACGCTTCCTTCTGCTGCGGGACACTTCTTTTTGCTGCGGGACACTTCCTTCTGCAGTGGGACTCTTCTTTTTGCTGTGGGACGCTTCCTTCTGCTGCGGGACACTTCTTTTTGCTGCGGGACACTTCCTTCTGCAGTGGGACTCTTCTTTTTGTTGCAAGACACTTAATTCCTTCTGCTGTGGGACTCTTCTTTTTGCTGTGGGACACTTCCTTTTGCTGTGGGACTCTTCTTTTTGCTGCGGGACACTTCCTTCTGCTGTGGGACTCTTCTTTTTGCTGCGGGACACTTCCTTCTGCTGTGGGACTCTTCTTTTTGCTGCAGGACACTTCCTTCTTCTGTGGGACTCTTCTTTTTGCTGCGGGACACTTCCTTCTTCTGTGGGACACTTCCTTCTTCTGCGGGACACTTCCACGCTCCTTCTACAGCCCACAGATGAGCTGAAGACTTTTCAGATTAGGAGTTCTTGCTTGCGCCACAATGTAAGACTCAAGGAATTTTAGAAGGTGAAGAACAATGTTCCTTTTGGTCTTCGTCAAATGTTTAATAATAATTGTCACGAGAGTTTGAGTTTAACTTGTCACCAAACTTGTTTCAAAATTTAAGAACTGATGATCCTGCCATTGATAAACTATAAGTTGGACAGTGTGGACCACTGGTTACGGTTCAGAGTTCCAGGATTAGAGCTGGGATTGTGGGTTTGAAACCCCAGCTTCCTGTGACTGTTCTTGTCAAAAGAGGCGTGGCTGCCGGGTGGCTGAGAATAGCAAGATTAGATCAGTAACTTGCTGGTTTGGAATGCCAGCAAAATGTAAAAATTCTGAAATATGTCTAGAATCAGTGATAATCTATATAGGTTTTGCCTATTCAGCTCTGACACTAATATTATCACTAGTATCGCTTCCATCGTACGTCTGTCACGCATTGATGAGCCCAAGAAGTTGTTATACGTGACGTATATCTAAGGATTTTAGACACGCAACGTATCTGGTGTATGTGGGAGCGTATCGAGAGTATAGAATATGATCAAGAGGAAATGGAGAGATGCATATTGAGCAATCATAGTCCTCATATGGAAGTAATACGAACTCATTACATCATGATACTATACTGAACACATTTATTTGTCTCAATTGATGAAGGTCGTACCGTGCTGGAGGTACCGTGCTGGAGGTACCGTGCAGGAGGTACCGTGCTGGAGGTACCGTGC